TCATGGCCACCTGCAGGAGATTGTCTACGCCTCTCAGCCATCCGGATTCCAGGACCCCCACAGGCCCAATTATGTTTGCAGGCTCAAGAAGGCTCTCTATGGCTTGAAACAGGCACCCCGCTCATGGTACCAACGATTTGCTGGATTCATCTACACACTGGGGTTTCGAGGGTGTAAGTCGGACACCTCTCTCTTTATCTACTCTCATGGGACGGACACCGCCTACCTACTCCTCTATGTTGATGACATTGTCCTCACAGCTTCTTCCGACTCTCTTCTTCGGCGCTTGACTGCGTGCCTCAAGGGGGAATTTGCTATGACTGACATGGGTGACCTTCACTTTTTCTTGGGCATCAATGTTCATCGGACAGCTCATGGTCTCTTTCTACATCAGACACAGTTCACTCACGACATCCTTGAGCGTGCCGGTATGATTACGTGTCGTCCCATCTCCACTCCTGTCGACACGAAGGCTAAACTATCTGGCACATCGGGTTCCCTGGTAGCCCACCCTGCCCTCTATCGCTCCATCGTTGGAGCCCTCCAGTATCTCACATTTACTAGGCCAGACATCTCCTACTCTGTTCAGCAGCTCTGTCTCCACCTTCACGTCCCTCGCGATGTCCACGTCACAGCTATGAAGCGGATACTACGCTATCTCCGCGGCACCTCCACCTATGGTATGACTCTTTCTCCGTCTAGCACAGATTCCCTTCAGGCCTACTCCGATGCTGATTGGGCTGGGTGCCCCGACACCAGACGATCCACATCAGGTTACTGTGTCTTCCTTGGGGACAACCTCATCTCATGGTCCTCCAAGCGTCAGGCCACTATTTCCCGATCCAGTGCTGAAGCTGAATACTGAGCCGTCGCTAATGCCGTTGCCGAGACCAGCTGGATCCGAAATCTCCTACTAGAGGTCCAACAACCCCTACGCCGCGCCACACTCATCTTCTGTGATAACGTTAGCGCTGTCTATCTCTCCACCAATCCAGTTCAGCATCAACGCACCAAACACATTGAGGTAGACATTCACTTTGTTCATGACAAGGTGGCCCTTGGCCAGATTCGAGTTCTTCATGTGTCATCTTCCTCACAGTACGCAGATATATTCACAAAGGGCCTCCCGTCCATATTATTTCAGGATTTCCGGACAAGCTTCGGGATTCGCCCACCATCGATGCCGACGTAGCTGGGAGCATGTTAAATATATTCTATATTTATGTTAAATATATATTCTATATTTATTGTATGTATATTGTTTCTTATTATAGAATCCTACCATGATTAGGATTAGGAATAGCTTGTGTATATAAACACATGTACTCCCACATTATTGTTTAAGGAAATTCATAATTCTTCACAAGTGCGCCATTAGTCCTATTATTTTTTTATTCAAGTCTAGTAAAGAACGTTAAACCAAATTCATTTTTAGGAATTCAATCATGCACCATACTAAAGAGAAAAACTTGCACTAAATAGGAATAAAACATAAGTCATTTCCCTAGGACTTAAACTTTTTTATTAACTAAATGAGACTTAATAATATCTAGTCAGAGGAATAATGTCCCTCTGATCATTTTTTGTCCATTTTTCTGGTGAAGTAAGACATTGGTGCATATTTTCATAACCACGAGCACTAGTGCTCATTTCTTATTTTTCGTTAATTTTTAAATTTTTCTCTCTTTTTTTATTAATCAAAGTTTTTAAAATTTCTTTTTAAAATTGTTTTTATAATTTATTAAAATTTAAAATTATTTTGTTTAAAAAAATTAACAATACTACATTTGTACATCTTAAATTAACAATTTTTATTTTTCATTTTCTAAAATAGAAAATAAAATACTCTTTTTAGATCTTCAAAAAATGAGGAATAAATAAATAAATAAAATAAGAAATAAAAAATGAATCTCCTTGACGTTCTAAAAAAATTCTTTTTTGTAGAAGACTCTTTTTTAGATGTTTCAATTTTTTTCATTTTTTTCCATATTTTTATTTTTATATTTTGTTATTTTCTACTTGAACTTACCAAAAAACATTATTCTAAAAAAAGTTAAAATTTTTAATTTGAGATAGATGGAGTATATGCTAATTTTTTTTATTTTTATTTCAGACAAAAGATTTTTTAATTTTTAAAAAAAATATAAAAAATATAAAAGAAATTTTAAAAAGTTAAACAATTAAGATGAAAGTTTAAAAACTTAGGAAAGGGAAACAAAGAGATAAAAAAAGTTAAAAAAGGAAAAAAACAAGGTAATAAACTAAAAATAAGAAATGAGCACGTGCGCCTCCCTAGGGTTTCGAAAATAAATACTTCCTCCGTCCCTCATAGATCTTCTCAATATCTCTTTTTCTTTGTTCATAATAGATTTTCTCATTTCATTTTTTAACAATTAAAATACCTCAACTACCCTCACTTACTTTATTTATTACACCTCACCCACCTCATTTAATACACCCCACCCATTTTCATTAAGGGTATTATGGTAAACTTTCATCTTTTTTGTAGAACTTTTGGAAATAACTTTGTTGATTGATTATTTACCAAGACCAAGTATATATACAGGGTACAATGATACAAGCCCAACGGGCCAACACAATATCTACAAACTAAAAATAATACAAATAACCCAATACTCCCCCTCAAGTTGGCGCATGAATATCAAGAATGCCCAACTTGGAGAGTTGAAAACGAAAAAGAGGACTAGAGAGCGCCTTGGTAAAAATATCCGCGATTTGCAGCTTTGTTGGAACATATGCCGTGGTCACATGATTACGCTGAACACATTCACGCACAATATGACAATCAATATCAATATGCTTAGACCGTTCATGGAATACCAGATTGGCCGCAATGTACAACGCAGACTTATTATCACAGTACAACCTTGGGGTGGCGACACAGGGAACGAATAAAGCCGCAAGAAGGCCACGAAGCCAACGTATCTCCGTACAAGCACTGGCCATGGCACGGTACTCAGCCTCAGCAGACGAACGTGAGACTGTATCCTGCTTTTTAGACCGCCATGAAACTGGTGAGCCGCCAAGAAGAATAAAATAACCAGTAACAGACCGACGAGTAAGAGGACAGGTCGCCCAGTCTGAATCAGAATAAGCCGTAAGAGATAAGTCACTGTCACTACGCAAGAAAATATCCTGACCTGGACGTCCCTTAAGATAGCGCACCACACGCATAGCAGCATGTAAATGATCAAGTTGTGGTGCATGCATGAACTGAGACAAACTGTGTACTGCGAAACAAATGTCAGGGCGCGTAATGGTCAAGTACAAAAGACGACCGACGAGGCGCCGATACTTCGCAGGATCACGAAGCTCGGGACTTGTTGAAGTAGCGAGGGAATGCCCGGGCGCAATAGGGGTAGACACAGGTTTGCATCCAGAAAGGCCTGCCTCATGAATAACATCCAACGCATACTTCCGCTGATTCAAAACCATCCCTTTCGGAGACCGAGCACACTCAATTCCCAAAAAATAAGAGACATGTCCAAGGTCCTTCAAACAAAAATAGTCATTCAAGTATTTCTTGAATGAGGAGCACACAGACGGATTATTACCTGCAAGAAGAATATCATCGACATAGACCAAAACAACCAAGATATCCGGGCCACAAACACGAACAAACAAAGTATGATCAGCATGAGCCTGTCTGAACCCAACAGTACGGAGAGCACCACGTAGCTTAGCAAACCAGTTACGCGGCGACTGACGGAGCCCGCACAAAGACTTCCGGAGACGACACACTTTACCAGGGTACGCCCCAGTATACGCAGGTGGCAACTTCATGTATACTTCTTCCCGAAGATCCCCATGCAAGAAAGCGTTATTCACATCCAACTGATGAACCTCCCACGATCTAGCCACTGCAACGGACAACAAAATACGCACTGTGGTTAATTTAGCCACTGGTGCAAATGTGTCAGTATAATCCGTCCCAAACTCCTGATGATTCCCCAACACAACCAAGCGAGCCTTATCACGCTCCTTGGTACCATCAGAACGGAACTTGGTGCGATACACCCACTGGCACCCCAAAGCATGGCGAAACGGGGGAAGATCAGTGATATCCCAAGTATGATTGCGTTCGAGAGCCAACAATTCCTTTGCCATTGCTTCCCTCCACGAAGCATGTTGAACCGCTTCACGAAAAGTCTTGGGCTCCACGGACGCCGTCACCGCCCCCAGAAAGCCTCTATACCTGCCATGTAACTTATTATAATGAACAAATTTAGTAATAGGGAACCGAGTACCTGATATGGAAANGTGATATCCCAAGTATGATTGCGTTCGAGAGCCAACAATTCCTTTGCCATTGCTTCCCTCCACGAAGCATGTTGAACCGCTTCACGAAAAGTCTTGGGCTCCACGGACGCCGTCACCGCCCCCAGAAAGCCTCTATACCTGCCATGTAACTTATTATAATGAACAAATTTAGTAATAGGGAACCGAGTACCTGATATGGAAAATGAAACAGGGGAAGGCGTAGGCGGAGAACATGGGGTGACGGTATGACACACATAGTCGGACAAATGATGAGGTGGGTGACGGACACGAGAGGATTGACGCAAGGACGGGGCGGGCGCTGTGCTATCGGCGGCAGTGGGTACCGGGAGGCTGGGGACAGTGAGTTCGGGTACTTGGTTGGAGGGCTGTTCGGGGCTGGATTGAGGGGTGGTTTGGGGTGACGGCTCCGAAGGGATAGGTTCGGGAAAATCACCCGCGGGTAGTGATGGGGTTGACGTGGGAACAGAAGGGGAAGGTGTAGCAAACGGAAACTGTGTTTCATCAAACGAAACATCACGAGTATGAAAGAAAGTGTGAGTTTCCAAATTGTACACACGCCACCCCTTTGTGCCAAACGGATATCCAACAAACATACACTGGATACTCCGAGAAGCGAATTTATTTGGAAGCTTTTGACGGACATAGCACAGACACCCAAACACCCGGAGATGACTAATATCAGATGGTTTAGAAGAGAGAATTTCAAGGGGGGACTTACCATCCAAGAGAGGTGTAGGAAGACGGTTGATAGGGTAGACTGCAGTTTTGACGCACTCCCCCCAAAATTCAAGAGGGAGAGACGCTTGAAACATAAGAGCACGAGCCACATTAAGGATGTGACGGTGTTTGCGTTCAACGCGGCCATTTTGCTGGGGGGTACCTACACAAGAGGTTTGAACCTAGACACCCATGAGATCATAATATTCAAGGAGGGGTTTATTGACGAACTCAGTGCCATTATCTGAACGAACAATTTTTATGGTTTTCCCATATTGAGTAGTAATCATAGTGAAGAAACTTTTTAAACAAGATGTGACCTCACTTTTAACTTTAATGAGATACACCCAGAAAGCACGAGAATGATAATCAACAATAGTTAAAAAGTAATGAGCCCCTGTAGCCAAACAAGCAGAGTAAGGACCCCATAGATCACAATGAATTAAATCAAAAATAGAACTGGCTTTATTGCAACTTGTAGGAAACGAAGAACGAGTCTGTTTAGACATAAAACAAATATCACATGTTTGCAACTTCTTTAACTGAGAAGTGCTATTATTTGAAGTAAGAGACGACATGACTTTGGTTGACGGATGACCCAAACGTTGATGTAAAAGTAAAGGATCAACAGTAGACGCATGAACTTGAGGCACAGGACCACGCAGTACATATACTCCGTTACGCAATTCACCCCGTCCAATCTCCATTTTCAACAAACGGTCCTGTATTACACAAACAAGGTCATTAAAAATTACATGACAAATATTATCACGAATAAGACATCCAACCGAGATCAAATGACAATGTAAGTTGGGGACAAACAAAACGCCTGATAAAACCAGGTTAGAAGAGAGACGAACTCTTCCATGTTGAGTGGCATAAACTCGGGACCCATCAGGCAAAAGAATTCCACAAGGAGCTATATTAGTGATATCAAATAAATGACGTGCATCACCAGTCATGTGATGAGATGCCCCACTGTCAATCAACCATTCAGTTAAACAAGAGTTCATACCATTGTACTGTTGAGACGTAGATGACTCGAGTAAAGACATGAGACGTGCCATTTGATCACTGAGATTGGTGGAGGAGTCGATGTTTGCCGCATGGGCGCCGCTGTGAGGCCCACTGCCTGGACGAGCGTGCCCCGCCCCCTAGCCACCGCCGTAGGGTCCACTGCCAGGTCGGGTAGGCCCTCGGCTGTTGTCACGACCGGACGAAGGGGGCGGTACCCCGGCCGCCACCACGCCCATAATGCTCAGGAAACCCTATTAATTCAAAACATGTATCAACATTATGGTTAGTACGACCACAATGTGAGCAAGACAGATTCCCTGGTCCTCGGCGGGCAGCAAACGCAACACCATCGGTTCTATCATCTCGGGAACGAATGATAGTACGATGTCGCTCCTCTTGAGTAATAATGTAAAATTCCCGATCAAGGTTAGGGATCGGTTCACTACCAATGATTTGTGAACGGGCATGCCCATATTGTTCATCATCAAGCCCTAAAAGAAAATCCATGGTTTTCTCACGTTCAATCCGGGCTCGTGCTAGGGCAGCGGCGGGGCACACATATCCCCCAGTGGGGTCTTCACTTCCGTTGAGTTGATTCCAGAGTGTGATAAATTGATTATAATAAGCAACGACGCTCTGCCCCTTTTGACGTAAACCATGCAATTCACACTTTAATTGATACATGTGAGGGCCATTGGAACCACCATAACGTTTCTTGAGATCACTCCATAGTTCATAGGCCAGCGTATGATTGATTATGCTTCGTTGAATGGATTCGTCCACACTGTTACAAATCCAACTGCAAATAATAGAATGATTAGATTCCCATGCGACAAGTTCAGCTTCATCAGTGGGTTTAGGTACTCCCGTAGATGTCAGAAACTTTGATTTTCCACGACCACCAAGAGCATGACAAATAGCTTTCTCCCAAACATCATAATTGTCGCTACGCAAAACATACTTCGTTAAAGAATTACCCGGACCTTCTGACGGATGGAGATAATAAACCGTTGACGGATCATGAATCAGATTCGCCTTCTTTGCAGACATACTGGACGAGCACCGCGGCTAGGGTTACTGGACAAACTCCCCTGCGGCTACACTAGACGGGTGGACAGACGAACACTGGCGACGGACTTCCGGCGACGTGATGGCCGGACGGTTGCTGACGAACGAACGAAGGGTAGAGCCGGCGTGTGTAGCGGAAGAAAAATAAAACCCTAGGATAATTGCTCTGATACCATGTAGAACTTTTGGAAATAACTTTGTTGATTGATTATTTACCAAGACCAAGTATATATACAGGGTACAATGATACAAGCCCAACGAGCCAACACAATATCTACAAACTAAAAATAATACAAATAACCCAATATTTTTTCAACTCTCTTTAAAAACCACCAAAAGTCAAAATGAGAACATTTTAGGGGGACGGAGAGAGTACCAATATCCATCTTTACCGGAAAATGATTGGAAAGAGTGTAAGTGCAATGTTTGGAAACCGAGAAGACTTTAGAAATATGTTTCGAAAACATGTCATATTAGTACTAAACTATTTGGCCCTTCTATAGCCAAGTCATCCTATGTACTTAACCACTCAATCGACTCAAGTCCAATTATACGTGCTGCTGAAGTAAGAGACTCTCCTTCTCTTATGCTTGAAGATTCAGCCCAAGCCCAAGCTAATCCTAAGTTGAGCCCAGTTAGAGATGCTGCAGAAGTAAGAGATTCTTCTCTCTTATACATGAAGGTTCAGCCCAAACTGGTTCTAAGTTGAGTCCGGGAAACTGTACCCGCCCGCATGCTGAAGGCCCAAGTTCCTTTAGTCTCCTAGAAGTATATTCTTCTGATAACAGTTTAGACAGCAACAATAGCAATAATGGGAGTCAGATTGAAGTTGGATAAGTCAACCATGCATCGGATTTATTTAAGTATAAATTTAATTGAAATTTATGTTTTATCATAGGGTTACATGGCAGAAATTTATGTTTTATCATTGAAATTTATGAAGTACTATATCTGATTCTGAGTATTTGTCTAGTTTTGATTTTTTGTAGCCAATCATTTTTAATCTTTGACTTATAATTAAATAAAAATGTATATCGTATAATCAGATAAAATAATATTTTGAAAAAAAACTTACAAATAAATCTAATAACTTATTTTCAACTCAATATCAAATATCACTTTTATTAAATTTGAAATTAAAATTGGCTAGTTTTGACCAAAAAAATCAAAAGTTGACAAATACGCAGGAACAGATGGAGTATCACATTTATTCCAAGTACTCCAATTTCAGATCAGGGGCAGAGAGGGGAGCTACCATCCCTTGGGTTAGGCCCGAAAACTGAACCGAGATCGATCGTTTCGAATCGAAAAAACTAAAACCGAACACAAAAAACCAAGTCGAACCAATTCTATTTCATTTTGTTTTCGATTTTGGTGTTGAAAACCAAATCTTACTAATGATATATTTTATTTTTCTCTTTCCATTCTTTTCTAGAAAGTATGCTTTTTTATAAATTATTTCTTATTTGACACTTTTCCAAGTTCTCATTTTATTCTCTGTTGGATATTGATGTGATGATGATGACATAAAAGTCTTGTTTATATTTCAAAAATATGTTCTTCAATTCAGGCGTTATTTTTTCTCATTTTGTTTTCACTGGTCACTACTAATGAAAGTCTTGGTAATAACCACATAACGTCAAATAGTTTTCTTATTTCCTATAATTTTTTGATAATTAGCTTGGTTAAAATTGTAACAATATGACCCTTACACCACAATTCTTTTCTAGATTGGTCACCACTAAAAATTCACTAGTCTAGTGATAGTTTAGTTTTACTTCCTTTTTATATACATATATATTTTTTTAATACTACCCATTTAGTCAGTTTCCTCATGTCATTGAAAAATCATCTCATATTGTAACTTATATACTCCCAATTGATTTACTTTTAAAATAATTATTTTTTTACAATAAGGCTCGATCCTTGCCTTCTCTTTGCCCTTATCCATCTGCTGGGAGACAATCCTGATTTGCTCGAAAAGTCAAGTCATCTTCTTGATGGCCTCGAGATAGCAAGATCACACATTCTTCTAGTATCCTCTTTCCTCTCCAATGCCATTGGGCGTGTGAAATTTCATGCACAGGTGTGTCATGGAGATAATGGCCACAACCTGGTTGATTCCAGGCCTTCCCAAGATTGCATTATGCACGCATTTGATATCGACCACAACTTATTTCATTTGTTTGGTCACCACCTTGTTTCCCAAACCTAACTCCACAGGGAGGATTACCTGCTCTTCCACCTCGATTGATGCTCCGGTGAAGCTCGATAGCACCGTAAGGGTTTCAACCTGGATCGATCAAGCGTCTACTTCTTAAAAGTATCCAGGTATAATACGTTGACACTGCTCCCGGTGTCAACAAAAATTCTTACCACGTCCACTCCCTTGATATCCATCGTAATGGCTAAGGGGTCATTGTGGTCCCCTCCCGTTCTAGGCAGGTCCCTGTCACTGAAAGCGAAGAGCTCTCTTTTTATTTGCTTAATGTTCGGTTTCACCGTGTAACACCCTAATCCGTTCAGGTCTGGAGCCCCTTTTGGACTAAAGTATTAACTTGGAAATCGTAAAAATTTAAAACTTTTCAAACACTTTTATTTATCACAATAATATTTTTTTCATAACATATACAGTACGGAGTATTCAACAATATTGCGGAAGCGAATTAAAAATTGACATATAATAATTCATTTCAAAACTTGTCACATCCATCCCGACAATCTCGCCTCATCTGCCACCAGCATCACATTGTTCTTTCTGTTTACCTGCGTGTAGCAATTAAAACATACTACACGCTCAGCGGTAAAGCTGAGTAAGCATATCTAATGCGTCGAACATCCATATAAACTGAATCTAAATTCATAATCAAATCATTTGATATCATGCACACAATGTTCACTTCAGACATTCACAGTTTTGATATTATTCAGTTCTTATCAACATATTTTATTCAATTCAGTTATTATTTCGATAGTGCTCTTAAATCGTTCTTAATCTAAGGCCAAATCATAACAACGCTCTTAACTATTCTTAGTCTAAGGC